TATATATATATATATATATATATATATATATATATATATATATAAGTCTGCATGATTGCAACATGATAGAAAATTGTTATCTTATATAAATATATAATAAATAGATACGAATGCAGGTTGTTTTATTCCCATTAGAGAAAGAGGAGAATGAAGAGAGGGGGGGTAGGGTTTTTCTAACCCGTTAGACCCGAATAACAGTGGAAAGTTTACATATTGTAGAGTTAAATGTTAAATTAAGTGATTTATGGTGATTTAACAGTTTTCCACGTGTTATAAGATACGATAACAGTGTTGTTATGACGTTACTGAGAAAGAAACAAGTATATAAAGAGTAAATTCGAGGAATACATTTACGCCTTGTCTAAAAGTGGGTCGATCCGTGCGTCGCAGCACGTCAATTATTATCAGATCACTATACATTCTTTAAAGTTCCGGGTCTCATCGAAGCTTCTCGATTCTAGTCTCTTTCTATACTCATTTATATAAATACAAAAATATAAATACCGTTATTGCATTACTCAATAATTGTAACAATAATATTATATATATATATATATATAAATATAATTTTTTCATTATTTAACGCAACATTAATCATTGGGGTTGAATTTACTTATACAAAGTAATAAAAACTTATATTAAAATAAGAAACGTTTATATTTATATTTATATCACCTCTATATGTGGTAAGTCAGTCTGGGAATAATAATAATAATAATAATAATAATAATAATAATAATAATAATAATAATAATATAAGCGTACAGAGGATTGGGTATCTGCACCTGCAATATGTAATAAATAATACGACAAGCAACAAGTACGTTAACAGGATCCAGCTTCCCAAAGTGGACTAAGCAAGACCTTAAGTAGATGTCAAGGACAAGAAGTTTGTTCCTTAAAGACTGCTTATACAAGATTACCCAGTGCCCAGTGTCCAGTCTCCAGTCACCAGTGCTGACAGTGGCCACCCTTCTTGTCAATTCACTTTTTTTTTAAAATCACATTATTATTGTAATACTCGGTACATACCGAGACGTGTCCGAAAAAGCCTCTCATACACTATACATACTTACAGAATACAAAGTACTAAATACTAAATACATTAAAATAAATACGGGGAAGGGGGCAGAATTTTCAGTTTTAAGTTTTTAACAAGAAAAACATGTTTCTCGTAACAAATGCTATACTCCTGGAACATTTTTTTAAAATTAATTTTATCGGTTTAATTTAACGTATTATTATTATTATTATTATTATTATTATTATTATTAAATGACAATTAAAGAGTTTAGAAAAAAAAAAACAATTATCGTATTGGTGTAGTACTTAGTGCAACACTATCACTAGATTGTCCGTATTACATCTCAAGAATTGGTTTTAAATTCCATATATACAACAAACGACATACACTTTTTATGTAATATATATATATATATATATATATATATTAAGTATTAAGTATTAAATATTAAGTCAGTAGTCTCTCTGTGTCCTGTCTTGTCTTCTCACGAATCCATATGTATAGGGTGCTCGGCGTAAATGTGCTGACTACATTCAGCCCGGTAACAGCGGTATATAAAAGAAGCCGATGGCTATGCTATCCTCATACGGTCTTCGTTCGTCAAACAGTTTGGAGGCTCGTTTCTCATCACCCACTAAATCGATAAAACTAATAATAATAATAATAATTATTATTATTATTATTATTGTTTTAAAATAGTTTCAATAAAATAAAAATATTTAAAAGAAAAAAAAATTAAATCACAAAAAATTTGGAAAAAAAATTGTTTTTTTTTTTTTTTTTTTAATTTATTAAATAATAAAAAATAAAATTAGAAAAATGTTTAGTGCTACTACATACTTGATCCTTATTGTGGTCTTTGCGTTGATAGCCCTTATCATTAAGGACCGTAAAGCTAATAGTAAAAAACAAAAAAGACTTAGTCGCGTAGTCGTGGATCGGGGTGAAAAATTAAATAATAACAAAATAGAAAATCTTATGGAGGCTCCTGGGCCGAGACCCTTGCCTATTATAGGCTCGCTTCATATTCTTGGTAAACACGATTTTCCCTACAAGTCATTTAGTGAACTGGCCACCTATTACAACAGTCAAGTGATTAAAATAACTTTAGGAAGACTTCCGTGTGTTATTATTAACGGATTAGATAACATTAAAGAAGTACTTTTTACGAAAAATTATGATTTTGATTCACGTCCTAATTTTGTAAGATACAACAGACTTTTTGGTGGTGATAAAGGCAACTGTAAGTATTATTTATTTTAATATTATTATAAAAATTAATTTTCAATGTCATTATTGTTATAATTTTTTTATTTTGTTCGGTAGCATTTGCGTTCTCAGATTGGACAGAGTTGCAGAAATCTCGTCGCGAGATGCTCCGCAACCATACATTCCCTCGTGCCTTCACTTATAGGTATCACGAGTTGAATGTAATGATTGCTTCGGAAGTGGAAAACCTGTTGGCTCACCTTGACAGACCAGTGGATCCAATGAAGGTCGCGGTCAAACCGCTTGTACTTAACACATGCGCTAATATATTCACCGGTTACTTATGTGGACAAACATTTGATTGGTCCGACAATTGTTTCCGTCAGATGGTTAAAAATTTTGATATGATATTCTGGGAAGTTAATGAGGGATATGCTGCCGATTTTATACCAATGCTTCTACCCTTTCACCGTAATAATATTAAAAAAATAGTTCAAGCTACTCACGATATTCGTAAATTTGTCGTTCAACATATTGTTGCTGATAGAAAACAAAATTGGATTCCGAAAAATACAGACGAGTACAGTGAGTCGTTGTCAGGGGGAGTTGTTGACCAAGAGCAAGGCTGCTATTTGGATAATCTTATTGAGCATATACAGACCAATGCTTCTCCCGAAATGACTTGGGATAATGCTCTTTACGCTCTTGAAGATATTATTGGTGGTCACGCGGCTATTGGAAATTTTCTTGTTAAAATATTTGGATACTTGGTCACCCATCAGCATATACAAAAACAAGCCCAAAAGGAAATTGATTCTTTAAATATTAATGATAATACTGTTGGATTAGAGTACAAAAAAAGCTTACCATATATTGAGGGAATTATTTTAGAAGCAATCAGATTAATTGCAAGTCCAATAGTCCCTCACGTTGCCAACAAGGATAGTTCTGTTGCCGGTATGTTTTTTTCTATTGATTCTATAAAAATATTTTATTTTTATCATCAAAATTACTTAAATATTAATTATTTTTATGTTACAGGATACAGAATTGAAAAAGATACATTTATATTCTTAAATAATTATCAGCTAAACATGTCTAATGAATTATGGAAAAATCCTGAAGCCTTTGACCCTACAAGATTCATCACGTCGGAGAATAAAATTTTAAAACCAGACTTTTTCCTTCCATTCGGAGGAGGCAGAAGATCCTGTATGGGCTACAAACTTGTACTTTACGTAAGTTTTTCGGTACTTGCAAGTTTACTCAAAAATTTTACGATTCTTCCGTCAGAAAATCAAGTTTACAAAGTACCAATTGGTAAATTAGCGTTACCTGAAGTAACTTTCAACTTTAGGTTTGAGCGACGATAGATATAATAAATAAATAACTTGATTAATCCTGCTAAAATGATTGATGCATTTACTAAAAAAAAAAAAAAGGAATAGATAAAAGAAAAAGAAAAGGAAAAAAAAAAAAAAAAAACAAAAAAAACAAAATGGCTCAAATTTTTAATGAAATTATTAGATTGTTAATTAGTCAATTTTATTATCAATGCTTGGCATTGATATAGACTGTTAGGTTAATTTTCTTATCATAATACTAATAATAAAAACAATAACAATAGTAATAATATTAATAATAATAATAATAATAGTAATGATACTTTTAAATGATTCATTCATACATTCAAATTATTCATCTTTAATAATTTTCACCGTCATCGTGAATTACTTAATAATTTATTTCTTCAGAAATGAGAGAAAAAAGAATGAACTTAATTTAGATTGATATATCTATAATTTTAAGCTTTTGTTATTTTTAGTTAAACTTTTTCTGAACAAATTAATTTTTTTATGTTAAGCATATAAAACTTTTCATATTATTGAAAATGAAGATTTTTTTTTTATTTATGTTATAAAAAATATGTAAAAATTTTTAAAATGATAAATGTGATGTATAAAAAAATCTGCCTTACATCTTAAGTACTTAATAATTGTTGATTGTTGACTAAAACAAATGCTATTAGATTTTTTTTTTTTTTTTTTTCTAATTTTATATGATTTATTTGTTGTACATTATAATTTTATTATTTAATTATATTAATACATTGTTATCATAGTTAATTTATTATTTAAGAAACATTTTAATAATAAAAGAAAAAAAAAATTTATTACAAAATAAAAATGTAAAATTGTTGTTTATTTTTATAAATATTAAGTGAATAATTAAAAGTCTTTTAGCAATATTATTATGAACACATTGGTAATTTGTATCACCACCACCACCACCACCACCACCACCACCACCACCACCACCACAAGTCCTTGGAGGAATCCTTGGCCTTGGGTAGGTATAAAAATAAATATATATAACTTGGGACCTTTCGCGAAGGTGATGGTGGTGATAATGACGGGGACGTTTAAAAAAGTTGAGTTGAAATATGACTATTAAAAGAGCAGCCAAAAAACGAAATACACGATGAATGTGCCTTCTGATTGGATTGTCTGTGGTTGGTGGTTGCTTATGAATATGTACATTGAGTACTTAATCATATTTCGTTAACATATTGCGTGTCTTAAATCGCATATTCAATGAATATAATTTTTAGGCAACAGCTATCTCACACGTTAATCATCCGTGTATCAGGTGTCTGACCACCGTGAACAACGCACTAGTACCACAACTTTATTTTATTTAATAAAATTCATTTACCGAATTTATTTTTTATAAAATATATTATTTAAACATCTGATGTGTGTTTATTTTTATCAATAACAATCTTTTCCTTTTCTGGAATCAACTCTAAACTATTTTTTTTACGTGAAAAAAGTTGATCTATTTCTTTAAGAGTTTTACCCTTGGTCTCTGGTAGACAAAGAAAAACAAAAACAGTCCCCAAAAGAGATATCACTGAAAAAAATATAAATACCGAATGTTTACCCATTGCTAAAATCATATCTGGATAACATTTAACAATTATAAAACTAAATATGTAAGCGAAACAGACGGTTAAACCAGAGAGAATGTCCTTAACCTTGGTAGGAAATATTTCCCCCACCATTGCAAATGGAAGAGTCAAAAATCCAATTGTACTCATGAAAATGTACGCAAGAATGCAAATAGCTGGTATTAAACCAGTGTCACCAATATTTATTCCCCGGTCAATAAGATAAAGATATACTGAAAGTAATCCCATAAATACAGTCATTCCAACACCTGATATTATTGATGGAATCCGTCTTCCCCATTTTTTTGACGCACAAGCTACAATAATAGATCCTGCAAGACGTGTTATTCCTATTAAAATTGCCCCAAAGTAACCATTTATTTGTATACCAGCTTCTTCAATAATATCTACCGCGTAAAATACAACGACAAAAATACCCGAAAATTGTTGAAAAAAGAAAAAACCCATCATTATTCCAAAAGGTTTTAGTGAACTTTTTTTTGTTAAATACTTGAAAATTGATTGTTTATCACTACTTATGATAATATTATTATTATTATTATTATTATTATTATTATTACTAATACGAGGACGATTATTCAATTCCTGTTCAATAGCAGGCGTTGTTGCGTTATCTTTAGATACTCCGCGAAATTTTTTCATTAAAATCCGAGCCTCGTCAATCCGACCCTTGTCTCGAAGCCAAAGTGGGGATTCTGGAAGTGCCAGTAGCATCATTATTATAGAAATAGCAGGAAAAAGGCCACAAATTAATGCTAATAGACGCCAATTGTCCTGAAAAATATTATTATTAATAATAATAATAATAATAATAATAATAATAATAATAATTATTATTATTATTATTATTATTATTATTATTATTATTACCTGAAGAAAGTAACCAAATACGTAGACCAAAAGTATGCCTGAGGCGATAGCGATGCTACTCCAAGTTACCATAACACTTCGCCATAGAGGATCAGCAACTTCAGCGGTATAAACAGTAGCTGGAACGGAAGCTAAACCAGTCGCAATCCCGGCGATTATTCTTCCGACTACAAGCTTCTCGTAATTCGTAGACATGTAAATTAAAACCCATCCAATCAGGGAGAAGGTCGATGTCACCATCAAGCTTAGTCGCCGACCTCGACGCATTATTAAACTAGACAACATACAACCTATTGGGGTACCAAATGCCGCCGATCCAGCTAATAAAATCATAAATATTCATTAAAAAATAACATAATCATTTTTATATCTAACATTATTATTATTATTATTATTATTATTATTTTTATTATTACCAATCCATGAAGCTTGATCCTCGGTTATTGGCAAGTCACTATTTGCAGATCGAAGTGTCGGGAGGATTACCGCGCTGTACCCTAAAGACATCGCTGGACCAAGTATTGTGAAATTTGCCAGCAAACTCATCGACATCTTAAATTATATTTTAATACATAGGTATAGAAAAAAAAAAAGTATAAATATATTTAACATTATTAATTAATTATAATTATTTGGAATTGAAAAAAATAAAAATTTAATTGTTTAGGTGTTACATCATCATCATCATCAATCATTATAATATTATATATATATGCTCATTAATTAATTGTTATATAATTTATGGGATTATTCAATAATATTATTAAATTTTATTATGAAACTTGGTAATATTAGCCATAAATAAAAAGCATTAAAATTAAGATAGAACTAATAATGTAAAATAAAGATTAAAAAATTTTTTTTATTTCAAAAAGTGGCATATCATATGATATAACCTACTAAAAAAAATATTCAAGTAATTATCTCTAAAATAAAATAAAATTACATTTGCATAATATGTATTAAAAATCATCATTGTCACAAATTATAAGTCGTAAGTCGTAAGTCATAACAAATTGATGATTAACATTATCATCAGATTTTTTGAAATTTTACATGTTTACAATATTGATTTATCTATAGACATATAAACGTGCGTAGACAATAAAATATAGAGGGAGAAAACAGAAAACACGGTTAATATTATAAAAATGTTGAACAAAACTGATATGATGTGGATGATATACTAAAACCGGTTAAACAAGAAGACATGAGTAGTAGTCTTACTCGGGAAACCGAGTCGACAACTTCCAATGACCATAATATCTCATTACTCATTACTCATTACCATTACAAATAGTTATTATTTTAATTAATATACATTATATATTAAAAAAATTAAACCTTTTATTTTAACAAATATAAAAAAAAAAAAAACTTTACAAACCTGATAAATGACTCCTCTCTTTTGTTGTTTTTTTATTTCTTCATCAGATACAGCTACAATCTAAAAGTAAATAACAATTATTAATTAAAATATTATTTATACTCATAATATTTTTTAAGTATATACCTTTAGTTCTTTAAGTTCCAGTGTTTCCATTTTAATATATATATATATATGAAAAAAAATCCTAAAATCAACTGTCAAAATTAGAAAGTAACTTTTTTTTTTATTTATCATAAAATAAAATAAAAAATAAATTCAAATCTTAAATGAGATTCGATCGGTACGAGTTTTAGTTAACGACTGATAGATTACAAATGTAGGGGACTATGGTCTTCTTGGAATCGTTGATGGAAGCTGAGTTCTTGAGAGATAACGTAATAATGCAATTAATTATTTCCCCGGTTTGAATTATTAAGATAACAGTCGTTGTTATTATTATTATTATTATTATTATTATTATTATTACTATTATTATTAATATTTTATTTTTTTTTTTATATAAATACAATATGTGTATTATAACAATAATGATAATCGTTAAGATATCATTTTATTGTGACACACATCATTTAGATCTGAAAGATGAAAAACAACTCTTTTATTTTTTATTAATTATTAATAACAGATTTCCTCATTTTAATACCTTGCACTTCACACTTGGGTTTTAAATTATTTATATAACATGACCTAGACTTTATCCGCACTCTTTGTTGTTGAGATTATTCATTTGAATAAAATATTTATCTATATAGTAATGAGAAGAAAAAAAAAAATTTTAATACATATTTTCTGTTAACATTTGCTTTAGCGAAATCAGATAATATTATACAATACCAAAAGTAAATCAAAACTGGTTCAGTGACTACAGTACAGAAAATAAGAGATTGACAAACATAAAAAATGCTTAGAAAATTGGATGCGTCTGCGCTTACACAGGTAATAATGAACTTTTTTTTTCTGTTATTTTCATCTTGTATGGTTTCTTTTGCATGTCTAAAATACTTTTAATTTTACGATAGATTTTATTCAAAACCTTTCCTCGCAATGTCGGTAATAAGTATGGTTTTTTTCTTCAATTGAATTAACAGTTTGCGAACATTTTAACATAAAAGTTTTATTAACTAAAAAAATAATTCTTTATATATAACAGATTTTGTATTTAACATTTCTAATCTTTTAGATATAATTATAACAATAATAATAATAATAATAATAATAATAATAATAATAATAATAATATGATCATCATCACATATTTATCAAGATTAAGATTAAGTATTTATGTAACAGTTGATTTAAAAATAAAATTTAAAACTTAAAATTTCTAAACTTAAAAAGCCTCTAGATAATCTGGATTTCTACAATCACGAATTGGATTAATATATATGATAGCAGGGTAATATATTTTTATACACTTCAATCCGAATTTATCTATTGTTGGTAAAGTAGAACTTTACTGCGGCTATTTTATTTTATAAAATATTATTTGTGTGTTTTTATTTGTATTCAATTTTGTATAATAAAGAAAATAAAATGGTATTATTGGTTAATTTATTATTATTTATCATTATTTTAATAAATTTTGTAAATACAAATGAGATAGAGTTTTGTTTGAAAGATAAAGAGAGTTGTGAAAATAAATATATTAATAATAAAAGGTTTTGTTTTTATATTTTAACATTTATTTATCTTAAAAATTATTAATATTAAAATACAATATAACAATAAAGATATGAAAATATTTTATAATTTATTAAAGATATATTTTATATGACGTCAATCAATCGGAAGGATTTAATCTTAGGAGAGATGTTTACATCAGGATAGGAGTGTTTGTTAAAAGTTTAATAAACCATGATCATAAATATCAATGGAATTTGGTTTTACCTCCTTGGTGTATTTATTCTTCATTATTATAATATTCTTTCATTTTATAATGTGACTAATTATTATTATAATAATTATTTTTTTAAGCAAATCTATACCATTGGAAAAGCAATACTATTAAACAAAAACAATTACCCTGGAGTTTATTTTTTGATATTGAAAGTTTAAATAAATATGTAAAAGTTATTGAATTATATGAATTTATTGAAGGTAAGTTATGTAATATGATATTCATTATTTAAATTATTAAAAGAAAAAAAAATAAAATGTATTTATTTTATCATTACAGAGGCTAATGGAGCAGACACTGTGGATAAAGTATTTGTTCTACAAAACGATCCAAAAATGTTTGAAACTGGAGATTTTAAAGATAAAAATAAAATTGTCGAGTGCAATAAAGTGAAATTAAATAGGGAATTATTTTGGGGATATAACAATATTACTGCTAATGAAATTATTTGTATTGAATTTCATGGAACCGCTTCTCAGCTAGTCGTTAACTTGAATCCTTCAGTTGATAAGTTAATATTATGATTTATCATTTTGTAATAATCATAATAGAAGTAAATAATGTATTAGCATTATTATTTTTAAATTTTTCAATATTTTTGTCTTTTACGAAAAAAATAAAAATGAAGATTATTTAATTTTTTGTAGCAAAATTTCTAAATTAGTAAAAAATTTAATTTTTCCCATTGTCAACTTTATTCACGCCAACTTTATATAAGTAGAAATCATTCTTTGAAAAACTGCAGCAAGCAGTCCCAAGATGGCATATTCTATCATTGCTCTAGTTAATTAGCATGATATTACCGTCTCTATTGTCTTTGTTGAAAAATTTGACCCTTTATGGCATACCTAACCTCAAAATAATTTTCTCATTGTTTGTTGTATTAAGTGATTAATCCGAGAATCAATTGACGCTGATACTAAGACAGAATAAGCCAATTTTTTAATAAACTATATTCAATTTACTATTTTAATATCAATTTTTCGCTGTCACTTGTGTTTAATGGTATAAATCGTATTTAAATTATTTCTTGATATTCTTCAGTATTTATTTGATTATATTTCATTAACTTTCTAATCTAACTATTGTTCATTATGACTATATATATATATATATTACCAATATTTATTTTAGTATTTTAATAATAAGAATACCAAGTTTTTTTATATCCAGGAAACTTATTCCTATGGATAGTAAACTTTGGTATTCTTATTTTAAGAATACTTTTTTTTTAACCACAGGGAAAAGTTTTCTAGGAGGAAAAAAACTTTTTTTTCAGTGTACCTGCATTTAAATGTGAATTTATATGTAATTTTATTAATAATTCAAATAAATAACATCACATCAAAAACTTAAATATTTAAAGCTTAAATAAACTTTGAATTTTTTTTTTTTATTTTTTTTTTTTTTTAATTTGTTTAAAGTCGCATAAACTACTAAGGTCATGTGCGAATACGGTAGGGGGTAAACTTTTGAGATTGGAACTCGTTTGTATTTCTTGGGCTGAGCAGAATAATAAAACTATGTTATTTCATAATTATCTATCGTCAAGATTCGTGTCGACCAAGCGAGGTTAAGTCGGCCATATTTATTTTAGTATTTTAATAATAAGAATACCAAGTTTTTTTATATCCAGGAAACAGGATAATACACTTAAATATTGAAAATATTCATTGGTGTACGCCGGACTCGAACCCGGTCCAATGCTTTGGTAGCAAGGGCCGGATCCGATAGGCTACTGCGCGCCTAAACTTTGAATTATTTTTTTTTTAACATATAATAATTAAATTACGATCAATTGAAATGCCAAAAATCCTTAATCGGTCAACTGTTGGTACATTCACCCTATATGGAACAGTGAAAAATGACAAATTTTGATAAATAATAATTAACACAACTAAACACTTTAAATTATTTAAGGTGTGAATTAATACTGTATCAAAAATTTTTATAATTAATAAAATAAAATCTATTGAATTAAATAACTTATTGAATAAAACACAATGACTCATTTGTAGTTTAAGTTTATTTTGGTATGCTTACTTATAACAGTTATTTATTATTACCATGTATCATCTGGTTTATCCACTCCATTAATGGTATGAATTTTATCTCCAACATACCAGTTCATAGTTGTGGTGACATTTTTACCAGTCTCTCTGTGAATCTGATTTTCACCAGTAAAGAAGTTTTTATGTTCCTTGACGTTAGTTGCGTAAAGGTTGTGGTTTTGATTATAACCCGTATACATGCAAGTATCTCGCTCGATCGAAAATTCCTTTTGATAATGAACATTGCCAGTATTTGCAATTACTAATCCAGCTCTCTGATAAAGCCATAGTTTTTCAGGATATTCGTTGCGAATTTCGCTTAAAGCTACTCCTGTTAAGTTATGATATTGATCATTTCCAACATGCATGTTCGTTACTTCCTTTATGTATGGTGCTGTCACTTTAAAAGTTGATGTATGGCCTTTATGAGAGTTGTGTGACAAATAGATGTTCACTCCCACGGCTTCATAGGTTCGATTTTGTCCAACAAATTGATTATTATGTAGTTTCATATTGTCCGCAAATATGCGTATAACTTGGTTGTGCCCATCAAACAAGTTTCCAATGAGCGTAATGTTCTTGGAAACTAAGTGGAGATCTGTGTTAGTAACGTTAATTATAGAGTCCGTAATCGTTATAGATTCTCCGCTGAACATACAAGGGTTTTGCAGCCTATCAATTTGAATGTAAGGCAAAAGATACCCTTTGGCACTATGTACCCGAGGGCAACGTTGATACGCAATATAATAACGAAGAGTTGGTGGCGGCGGCGGTGGCTCCGTCGGTATTACCATTTGAACTAATTTTGCTTGAATTACTGTAAAAAGATAATTTGTTTAATTTTCAATAATTTGAAATGATTACAAATTATTGAATATCTTGTAAGCAAATTCGCTGATGGATCAGGATACACAGAAAAAAATTTTTCGTAAAATTTAACACAAAAATTTGTGTTGATAACTTTGTTTACACAATTTGTGTTGAATCAACACTCTATTACGTTGAATCAACATCCTAAAATGTTAAATTCTACACACTTAAATGTTAAATTTTACACAAACATTTTTACACTTTACGCAATGACGAAAAATTTTTTACTGTGTAGAGACAGTAAATATTTTTGAAGCGTTTAATAACTATTACTTACATGAGGGCGCCATGTGCATAACGAGCACGACGACTAGTAATTTTTCGAACATCTTGTCACAGCTACTCG